GAGACAAAAGGAGACACATTTATTTATTTATTTATTTATTTATTTATTTATTTATTTATTTATTATACTATGCTGGATAAGGAGACAGTTTATGTGTCTATCTATAGACACAGATTGTACTTGACATATTATTTTATTGTCCCCTTTTTGTCTCTTTTTTTTTTCTCCTTTTTTGTCTCTTTTTCCTCCTTTTTTGTCTCTTTCTTTCTCCTTTTTTGTCTTTTTTTTCTCCATTTTTGTCTTTTTTTTGTCTCCTTTTTTGTCTGTTTTTTGTCTCCTTTTTTGTCTCCTTTTTTGTCTTTTTTTCTTGTCTTTTTTTTTGTCTCTTTTTTTTGTCTCCTTTTTTGTCTCCTCTTTTGTCTCCTTTTAATTACTTGTTGTGTCTCCTTTCTTTTTATTATTTATATCCTCTTAATGTCCTGTCTCCTTGTATATATTTGTCTCCTTTTTTGTTTATGTGTCTCCTTTTCCTTAATTGTCTCCTTTTCCTTAATTGTCTCCTTTTCCTTAATTGTCTCCTTTTCCTTAATTGTCTCCTCTCTGTCCCCTTATGTGTCTCCTCTCCGTCCCCTTATGTGTCTCCTCTCTGTCCCCTTATGTGTCTCCTCTCTGTCCCCTTATGTGTCTCCTCCTTTTTTTTGTGTGTGTGTATAGAGTATGAGGAAGGGCCATGGGAAATAAGAGTATTAGTATTACGTTGTTTCTTAACACCATCTAATAAAAAAAAGAATCATTTATTGCATGCAGACCTAAAAGTATTAAAAATACCTAGAGGTGTCTCCTTTATTAAGGGGCCTACACCTAAAACTATTCCTTTTGCTGGATATATTCAATTACCCACCAAATATTATGGGTTAGTTCCTTTTTTTTTTTCGAGGGTTTAGGGTTTAGGGTTTAGGGTTTAGGGTTTAGGGTTTAGGGTTTGTGGCTCAGTCTGTTGGAGACCCTGAAGGGTGTCTAGCGGTTGGGGCTGTCTCCGCCGTGGTGTCTCTTTTGGCTCTTCTTGTGGAGACACCTCGTATTGGTTATCAATATTTTAAATGGAGAAAGAAATTCAAAAGAAAAGCTTGTAAACCCTAAACCCTAAACCCTAAACCCTTAAACCCTAAACCCTATTTAGCATCCCTTCTTTATTAATATCTCCAACATGTATTATTTTTATTTGCTTTTGTTTAGTGTAGTTACTGTAGTATATATTATGTAGTATTATTGTTTCATGCATTATATTTTAGGGTTTAGGGTTTAGGGTTTAGGGTTTAGGGTTTATGTTTTTTTTTTCAGCTCGTTTATTAGAAGGGGCTGTAGCGCATGCAGCAGAAGCATCAGGGAGCAGCAATTATTTAGATTTATTATTAATAATTCCCCCTAAGGGAGGAGGAGAAGGAGACAATAAGAGTATAGGTCCCCCTATATTAACAGCAGGACAGCAGCAAGGATATGCAGATTTGCTGCAGTTGCTGCTGCTGCGTGCAAGAGCAGCAGCAGCAGCAGAACTCCCTTTCTCCCCTCAAGAGCTACAAACCCTAGGTGTCTCCTTCCCTCTACCTAATGAGGAAAGGGACTGTCTCCTTAATATACAGCAGCGCAGCAGCACAACAGGTCTGCAGATAAAAGGAGACAGCGAGTTGCTGCTGCCCCCGCATATGAGTAAGACAGGCCTGTATGGTTCCTTAGCAGCAGCAGACGAGGCAGCACTTGTTGCGCTGCTGCAGCAGCAGCAACCGCAGCAACAGCAGCAGCAGCAGGAGCAGCAGGAGCAGGAGCAGCAGGAGGCATCTCTTGCCTTCTTCTCTGTCTCCCTTATGATGGCATTAAAGGCAAGGAGACAGCTATGGCAGCAACTAGCAGAGATAGGCAGCAGCAAAGGAGACAGTTGCTGCTGCAGCAAGGAGACACCTGCTGTTGATGTAGTAGGTCTTGATGTATGGCGGCAGCTGTATCGTAAGCTGCAGCAGGCAGGCGTGCTGCTGCAGCAGGAGACAGCAGCAGCAGAAGAAGAAGCAGCAGCAGCTGCTGCTGCTGCTGAAGGGGAAGAAGGAAAGGAGGCCGATGAGGAACTGCAGCAGCGGCTGCAGCTGCTGCAGCGTGTAGGGGCTGTGCATGAGCAGCAGCAGCAGGAGCTGCTGCAGCTAATAAGCAGCAAGGTACAGGAGGAAGCAGATGGTATAGGGCAGGTAGCAGCAAATATAAGAATAGAGGGGACAGGAGATCAGACACCAGAAGCAGCAGCAGCAGCAGCAGCAGCAGAACTTACTTCCTTACGCAGCAGACTAGATATGCTGCAGCAAACAGCAGCAGAGATCGGGCTGCCGCAGCAAATGCTGCAGCAAGCAGCAGACAGTCTCCTTAGAGCAGCGCAGCAGAGTCATAGCGAGGAGGATGTCCCCTTCGTAGCATTAGACGGAGAGGAGACAACAGCAGCAGCAACAGGAACAGCAGCAGAAGGAGCAGCAGCAGCAGCAGAAGGAGCAGCAGCAGCAGCAGCTGCTGCTGCTGTCCA